AGGCTATACATTTTTTTCTAATCTTTCTGCAGGTATTGGCTGGCATTTGGGGTTAGGGACTTCCGGTTGAGGGTCGAGTCTAAGTGAGCCCTGTATTACTTTGGAGTGTGGTTCTAGCCTGTTGTCTGTTGTTATGGCATTCTTAGTTGTGAGCTTCACAGCTCTTTCTTGGGTTGACCAGTGTGGTGGGGGTGGTGTTTGATGATTTTTCAATAAGCAATAAGATTGAAAGAAGCGGCTTTGGACCCGTGTACAAGGTAATGTTAATATTCATACACAATTATGCAGCATCAGAAGGAAAATAGTTCATGCTACCTATTTGGCATGGTAACATTTCTATGCACCAAGACCAATTTTTGTGTACATAACAATCTACCACTACTTCCCTATCACTTTCTCTTAAATTATGGCACAAAACTCGTCATTCTTATGAAAATTTTAGTGAGCACTAGTGCTTTCAGAAAAAGGCATCAGTGTCTGGGTGGCACAAACTTGAGTCACAGAAACAACATTTTCAGAAATAGGAGTAAGACCACGCATATCTTAACCAATAAGATAAGGTCTCATTTTGATGTTTTGGCTAAAGATCACCCAGTGTTTTTAGAAAAAAATGGGTCTCCAAACCTAATCCACAGTTAAAAGTTAAGGAAAAAATGGTCTTTTAACAAGATGTATATAATCCAATGGGATATATAGAATTCCACAGAATATTTGCTTCGCTTGGACAATTGGAGGAAAAAAAGAGGCACAGCAAAACACATTACTTCATCCACATTGCCTATGGAACTGTGGCTTTGCTTTTTGTGACACAAGTCAATTATATTAGTGCATTTATTCAGAACACATGGCATAGATTTGCATAAGGAAAATCAGGGGAACATGAAAACAAGCAGAACAAGCAGAATATGAAACTGCTGAATATTGATATTTTCAGGGTACATTGGAAGAGGGACAACAAATAGCTGTGAAGAGACTATCAAAGAGTTCAAGACAAGGACTTGATGAATTCAAGTGTTATGCATTGCCAAACTTCAACATCAAAACCTTGTCAAGCTTCTAGGATGTTACATTGAAGAAGAGGAACATGTTGATCTATGAATATCTCCCTAACAAGAGCTTAGATTCCTTTATTTTTGGTTTGTCTCTCTTAACTTCTATACATTGCATATTTTTTAGAACTTCTCAACTATGTTAAATTCATTTCTATGATATTCACAAATTTGATTAAGCCAAAGCGCGATAAATTGGACTAAAATTTGAGCAAGTGAAAAGCAAAGCATGTTATTGGATTGGCCTAAGCACTTCAACATTATCAATGGGCTTGCTCGAGGGCTTATCTATCTTCACCAAGACTCCAGACTGAGAATCATCCATAGAGACCTAAAAGCTGGTAATATTTTACTAGATAACGAGATGAATCCAAAAATTTCAGACTTTGGCATGGCCAGAAGTTTTGGAGGCAATGAAACTCAAGCAAATACAACTGGAGTGGTTGGAACATAGCAAGTATATTTTCAGTTATGAGGGAGACCCTACTATTATTGATCATGTTATGCAAAAGTCGAATAGTTCCAATTACAAAACAATAAATACAACAAAGCAAACACACAGAACACATGATATATGTAGTTTGGCAATGTGCCTATAACGCAGTCATACTCAGACATTGAAACCATGGCTGAAAAATACAATAAATACCTCCAAAGTATTCAAGTCGAGGGGGCTACCTCCACTCTACAATACTTCCAGATCTGAGCTTCAAACCTCCACCTTTTGTAAAAAGCCATTCTACCGTAAACCTGAGTGCATAGTAAAAATATAGGACATCTCACAAGGAGTTAGCCATTAATTTCTTTTCACATTGATTCCTCCAGTGGTTACATGTCTCCAGAGTACGCTATTGATGGACTCTTCTCCATAAAATCGGATGTCTTCAGTTTTGGGGTATTGGTGCTTGAGATAATCAATGGGAGGAAAAACAGAGGATTTTATCATCCTGACCACAACCTCAACCTTCTAAGGCATGTAAGTGTCAAAACTACTGTTTACCTAATATCTCAATGCCACGATACAAAACTTACTGACAAAATGTTATGCAATTGTCCAGGCATGAAACCTCCACAAAGAAGGCAAGTCTTCAGAACTAATTGACACATCAATGGCAAATGCATGTAATAATCCTGAAGTTATTCGGTCGATCCATATCGCTCTATTGTGCGTGCAACAGAGTCCAGAGGGTCTGTTGTTCTCATGTTGTGTAGTGATATGGTATTGCCTCAGCCGAAGCAACCCGGGTTTTTTAGTGAGAGGAAACTTCTCAACGCAGATTATTCTTCGGGTAAGGCTGAATCTCATTCAGCCAACCTATTAACTGTTACATTTTTGGGTCATAGATAAAAGACATTTCATGTTGATGTTTTGGTCCTTTGGAACATATGACATTGTTATTCCAGCATTGGACATTTTTAAACGAGAGAAAGAAAAACAGTTCCATTTTGTACATTTCTTTCTCAATAAGAATGTTTAGGAATTAAAATAACAGAACTTCTTTTTCTTTTCTTTTTTTTGAGCATCAACAAAAATTAATTAAAACAAAAATGTGAAAGAGGACAAAAAGTCCTCATACAAAGAAAGAGAAAGAGAAAGAGCAAAACAAAATCACAAAACTTGTAACCCTAAGGATGGCAAACAACAGCTCAATCCTTAGAGATCAAAAACAAAGGAACTCCTTTAAAAGAAGGGGATACAAATGCCTAAAATGAGGCCAAATATTATGTCCTATCTCACAAAGCCTCTACACTTACTTCCTTGCCTTCAAAGATTCAAGCATTTCTCTCCAACCATATAACCCACAAAATAGCAAAAACAATACTTGTCCACATTGCTTTGGCTCTCTTAGTTCTCCCGAAACCCTCAAACCTAATAAGAAGCATATGAATACACTCCCATAGAGCAACCCACTGCACATCACATAAACTGAAAAGATGCTGCCATAATACACAAGCCACTAGGCAATGAAGGAATAGGTGATCCGCTACCTCCAAATTTCTCTTGCACATCACACACCATTGAGGGCACAGAGAGTGATTAGGCCTTCTCCTCTGAAAAACATCATTAGTTATAACACTCTTTTGAGCCAAAGACCACATGAAAAACTTTACTTTATGAGGGACACCCGCTTTCCAAATTTTCTTATGAAAAGGGAACAAGGGAACCGAAGGATTATCAATAAACTTATCAAAAAAAAATTTAGATGAAAAGACCCATGAATAAACAAGATTCCACACCCTGCTTTCACAAGACGAAGAAAGAGAAACCCCCCCGAGCACTACCAACAAAGATGTCAACTCCCCCGCCTCCCTATCATTCAAGTTTCTAATGAGATCAAAATTCCAGGAGATGGGTGCCAAAGAAGAGCAAGCCACCGACGCTATTGATACATTTGGAAAACGAACCAACCGATAAAGAAGGGGAAAAGATCTAGCAAACGAAATATCCCTTAACCAAACATGCTCCCAAAACCGAACATTCTTCCCATTACCCACTTTGAATGAAAAGAAGTTAGACACAAGAGGATACAAACGAGAAATGGATTTCCACGGTGAATGACAATTGCCTCTATTAACCACATTAGAATCTCTACCATTAAATTAAACTCCATACTTGCTTTTAATAACTAAACACCATAGCAATTCACTTTCAAGAAGAAATCTCCAAAATCACTTGCCCAAAAAAGCAATATTCCTAGCAACGATGTTCCCAATAGCCATGCCACCTTTTTCCCTAAAAAAAGAAGCAGTCTCCCACCTAACCAAATGAATCCCTTTTTACCCTCATCACACCCTTCCCAAAAAAATATCTCTCATCAGTTTCTCAATCTTTCTCACAATGCTAACCGGAATTTTGAAAAGGGACAGGAAATAAATAGGAACAGACCCTAATACGGATTGCACCAACGTATACCTTTCCCCCTTAGACAACAAAGCTCGCTTCCATCCTTCTAATCTTTTTCCAATTTTGATAAGAACAGATCCCCAAAAAGACGCCAATCTAGGATCTCCTCCCAACAGGCAGCCCCAAATATTTGGGAGGAAATGAATCAATTGAACATCCCAACATAGCCACCACCCTATGCACATGGCTATCGTCCAAATTAATACCCACAACACTACTCTTGTTAAGATTGACCTTGAGACTCGACACTTTCAAAAATTCTCAAAATCTTTAACAAACTCTCCACCTTACGTTTCTCTTTTGATGAGAAGAATATAATATCATTCGCAAATTGTAAATGAGTAACAAAACTTCTTAGCACCCTAATCAAAAAAATTCCACTTTTGTGACTTCATATCATCACTGATGTGATGAGAGTGAGCATTTCAAAAACCGAACTTGACGGTGACATGTCACACATGCATCAAAATAGTCATTGCAATTTTACAATGATGCAATGAATAGCTCATTCAATGTCAATATAAAGTAATAGCAACATTGCTGTGATGAACTTTCAGAGGAAAAATATAAAGTATGAACCTATATATATTCATCAAAATTGGGAAAAATATATATATATAGTTGAAATGAAAAATATCAATAAATAATGGGTACTTGCGTTGATCATGTTGCATGAGGGTTTGCCAAAATATCAATAAATAATGGGTACATATCAATAACAAAACTTTTTGTTTTGTTTTTCTTCTGGGGATATAATTGCTTATTCTACAAATATTGTACTGATTTAATTATCACCTACTCTGTCAAAAATGTCCTCTAAATGAATGTTATCTTAAGACTTTAATCATCTATATATGCAATTAGATCATTATTAATCAGGATTTGCACTCCATCACCCTCAACTCCAATTATAAAAATAAAAAAAATAAAAAGAAAGGAAAATTATAAGCATCCTTAATTACTGAAAATTTATCAAAGGTCACATAAAAAGATTAGAAAAGATTAATACTAATGGGGGTTAGAGTTTAATATAGAACTAGAAGAAAAGAGAAAGGAAAAAAAAATTGCATTGTTATAACGTCATCAATCCATCAAGATCCATCAAAAAGTAAACACACATGTACACGCACAGACAAGCATACATGCATAAGCCTTCCCATTTGAGCAGGTAATCTTCCAGATTAAAGTACAGATAGTTCCAAAAGCCTTCTCATTTGAGCAGGTAGTCTTCCGGATTCAACGGATTTGTAAGTCCTCCAAGCACCTGCATCATTTAAAATTGATTTCATTGATTGCCAAATCTAACCAAATCTGCCCAACAACAGTATAGTAAAAAGTCAACACAACCAAATTATTTGATAGTTCCAACTCCTCAAACTCCTGATAAATGATCTAGAATAGGAGGAAAACACTAATTGGAGATAGCATCTCCAATTAATCATTAAAACCACCAAATGATGCATAATCCCAAAAGTAGTTCCAAGTTGGCATTAATTTGTTGGAAACAAACTTGAAGCTCAAACAAATTCACAGCTCCATCAATAAAAGGATGAGTCGTGTACCCAAAAAAAATTGGGGCAATGGTACCTTGGAATTCCCCCGCTAATGCAGGCAATAAGTTCAAAAGGAGTAAAATTATATTAGTGATGCTGTTCGTTATAGCACAAAGCATCCAAGAAACAAGACTCCTAGCAATACTTGAACCAACAAAAATAATTGCAAAAAACAAAACAAATATCATTTTCTAACCCTTGGGGGAAAAAACGCATTTGTTTGCTGCTGCATGGGCAAGTGAGGGCTCCACAATTGAGACGACTTGTCTTTTGTAAGAAAACATATAAGAAACTCGCATACCATTTGTATTTCTTCATTATTACTTATGAAGCAGAAGTTAGATTATTTCAATTAGAACTCAATAAATTACCTAATCGAGTATATCTATGTACTTGGTAGAGGTCATTGCAGAATTGTAGGAAACGATCCTGTCAAGAAAGAAAGGTACTCCCAAGTGTCAATTAGCCATTCAATGACATAATAGTGTAGTTATACTGAACCACAAAGGATGATCAACAAATGTGCATAAAAAAACAAACACAATCCAGAAAAGACATTCAAACGTTAAATATTAGGTTCTCAAACCAGTCTCCAGTGCTAAAATCAAAGTCTCCAGCCTCCAAGTTAAAGTCTGCTTCCACAAGCCTCAGAGCAACATCTTTCCCCACATGTTCTCTCTGCACCTCTAAGGAGCACCAAATGATTGCCTTACGTAACAATGTGCTGATATGCGTTACTGCACATGTGAATACAATTTTGTTACATTCACAACTTACAAACATCAGCTTATATCCACATGAGGAAGCTGAGATATCCATCTGGAGATCAAAAGATGAAAATTAGCATGCAAGATACAAAAATTTAGATGACAGAATGTTAATAGAGATTTTAAGCAAGCAGGTATTACTGGAAGCCTGGCTGGAGAAGTTGGGACCTCCATCTAATTAGGTAGTCTTTGGATATTGGATTTGTGATTTTTTAATCTTTCCCATGCCTTTTATTTTCCCAATATAAAACAATATAAAGCCATCTACAAATCCAAGATCCAAACACAACCTCAGGAAACAAAATCATAGTTATCAAATCAACAATCGCGAATTGAAATCCTATTTGTTGCAAATCAAGAAACGTAATATTCAGCATAAACGATAAATATGTATATATATATGTTAAACAATTCATAAATACTATAAAGAATGAAATAAAATGATTATGAGGCCATATTATAAGATAAAATTTTACAAGGGCTTGATGACATAGTCTAATTGTGAAGGCATTTGGCTTCACCACAAGAGATGTGGTTCCAAATCCCACCAACCATAGTTTTTTATACGTTTTGAATAAGAGATGGTAGTTGAGAACCCTATTGTTTAAACAGAAGACAATGTAAATGGAATCTTGCAAGCTTGTTATTTGAGGGGGAAATTATGGAACCATTGAATCCAACTAATCTGACCAATAGCTTTGACCTTGAACATACTTACAGGATTTAGTTTGACATGTTTTCTCATCAAGAAAAGGTTCAGAGCGTAACTACCTAGATCCTATTTAATCCTTCAATCACCAAATTAGCAACACATTATGCATGGAAGTTGGTTATTTTCACATAAAAGAAGTTGCATTCTGACAATTAAGAAATAGAGCAAATTACATTGACACCCCTTGAAGTTTGGTTCAATTACTACCCACCCCCTGACATTTTGGAAATTATATTCCCATCCCTGTGGTTAATAGTCTCATTACACAAACCCCCCTACTTATATAAAAGGTAACAACTCCTAGTAGAAAAATAGAGGAAATTACATTAAAAAAAAAAAGTTAAGGAAATGAGAAAAAAAAGAGAAAGTAAAGCAAAGCAAAAAAAGAGATAGTGCATGAGTTCAATGTCTTCATTCCGTCTAAATAATTACAATGACAGGGGGGTTAGTGTAATTTCCCAAACGTCAAGGGGTGACATGTATTAAACCCAAACCTCAGAGGGTGTAAGTGTAATTTACCCAAAAAAATAAATAAATAATTCCAAATTTGCTGGGTCAGGTATTAATGCATATACCTATACCAAATAAATGTTGTATGTATTACGAAACAAAGAAGCAAGAAACATCAAAACAAAGAGGATTGGACAGGTATTAATACATACATCAGGTTGCTGTAGTTGTAGCTGATGATATTCCTCAATACTACTACCAGCCCTCTCAAAAACTTCTAGCAATACCATAGCCAACTTCATAATTGTCTTCTTGTTGTGAATTCGAGTTAATTTCTCATGTTCAACTTGATCCATAAGGTTGATCTCCTCGTTAATTAGAGACACACATTGATTTCTAAGACATTCATGAATTGTCATACTTCCATTTAAACCAGCACCATCTTTTCCATGGAATGTGATGGGAACCAAAAACCTTTTCTCGAGCCACAATCAGCAAGACAGCCAACTCAATGAGTTTTCCTTCCATGGCATAATGGTAAGCAAACTCTTCAACATCCTTGGTGAACCCTGCAACCAACTTGTTCATGGCCAAAGCCTCACTCTGCAACAAGTAATTGAAGAAGAAAATTATATTAGCTCGTTCATCAACTTCAAAATAAAAACCAAGCATATGTAGCATGGGGTCTAATTAATAATTCTTTGCTGAAAAACAAACCATTGTCGGAAGACAAAGTGCTACTGTCAAGTCAAAAGCAGATTGTTCTCCACTCATACAGCATATATAGAGTAGTTCTGCACAATCAGTACAATCAATTTCAAAATAAATAAATAAATTAATAAAAGGAAAATCAAAGTGAAGGAGAAAAAAAAACATTGCCAAAATAGGAAGAATAAGCACTATGTAAATCTTTTACCATTCTATTTTATTATTTTTATTTTGTACCTCACTTTACACTACAGCTTCTTTTTTGAGGAAAATGGTCCCCTTTGATTCATATCTCTGTTTTAGTTTCCTTGTATCAGCTTTATGCTATTTATTTTTCCGAATATTTTATGTCATGTATCTCTTGTTTTAAGATGTAGGTTATGTTGACATCTCTGGTTTATGAGAAGCAAGAGAATTTACAAATCATGATGAAAATGCAAGGGCTTGTCATCCCATCCAGAACAAACAAGAATACATATATATATATATCATTTTTCATTTTTTGCATTGTCTGGAGAGTAAGATTTGAGTCCATCCCTTCAAACATCCACTCATTAGGGTTTTGAAAATTAGGGAAAACAAACAAATTGGCTTTGAAAAATAGGGACAACAAAGGAAAATAGAGAAATTGAGCGAGAGAGAGAGGACCCATACCTGATCTCAGGGCTGTTTGAAGATAGGCGAACTGGTAATAGCAGAAAAATGGTGATGGTGGTGCTGTTAGGTGCGAAAATAGAGAGCAACCATGTAAGGAGTATTGGAAAACAAATACAAAGATTGAGAGAGAGAGAGAGAGAGAGAGAGAGAGAAACAGAGAGAAAATACATACGTAACAATGGAGGCCGTTCGACTTCTCGAAGTGCCGTTGATGCTTGGTCGAAGAAGCGAAGCAGGTGACTGCGATGACGGAGGAGAAGCAACTTTGGTGACTGCAATCAAGTAGGAGAATCGATGGTGACATGTATATGAGGAGTGGTGCGCGGGAGTGGTGCACGGTATAAAGAGTTTGAACAATTTCACTCTGTTGATATTGGAATAGGGAAATTTTCCCCTACAAAACTATTGGTCGGTATTTTCCTTCAATTTAGTTCAATAACACCAAAACAGCGTAGTTTTATTATCTGCGACCAAAATATTTTAGTCGCTAAAATTTTTTTCATTCCCGCTTTGTTTTTGGTCTTCCCTCTTCGACTTTTGCCTACCAAATTTCAATTTTGGTCACAGAAAATTATATTTTGGCAACTAAAATATATTAGTCGGCAAAACTCCAACCCTTTGCCTACCCAATTTTTATTTAGTCGCCAAATAAAAACTTTTTGTAACTAAATAAAAGTTAGTCAGCAAAATTGGTCGGGAAAAATGTAATTTCTTGTAGTGAGTAGCCAAACAAAAAAAATATAACATTGCAACTTGACTTCAAATGTAAACATTTAATTGTTACAATAAAAAATAAATGAGCTAAAATAAGATGTTTTTGAAAGTAGATATTTGGCGAACATCTTTCTTTAGGCAAACATATTGCTGAACCAAGCCTTCAACAAAACTTATAGTGAAAATTTTCCTACTGTTAGGCAAACATCTTTCTTTCTAAACAGAATCAAGTATAGTCACGAGTCATTCAAAATATGCACCTTTACAGTCTAATAGAAAATACAAATTAAATTCAAGAACTGAGATGAAGAGAAGCTAGTTCAAAACTACATTCAGATGGGTAAGCCTAGAAACATTTCTCAGAATCAAAACCAGAAAACATGAAAAGAAAATAGCAACTGGGATGATAAACACAAGGAACAGACCTCTAATATATGTAAATCTGGATCTATCTCAAAGCCAACACATAACTCGAAATACATATAATTGTCCTCAATCTTAAACAAAAAACAAAGAATGGCGCACAAATTCCATGATTGTCATAGAAAGTGACACATATCGGATAACAAAGACTTGTTCTACAGTGTGTTCATAACATTAATGCCAATACAGCAATTTTGAGTATGTATAACACAACTAACCAAACCAAGCCTTGTGTAATGTGTCCTCAATCAAAAAAAACAAATCTTTAAAGATGCTTATGATTTCCACTAGGTCTTCACACACAAGCCTCAATAAAGCTTCAACACAGCCCTAACCCTAAGCATAATAACCCAGCTAAAATAAAAAAGAAGAAAAGCTTTTATATGTCTCAGCAACAAAATTTCCAAAGTTACGTCTCAGCAACAAAATCTCCAAAGTTACTTGATAGCGCAAAATTATTGAAACAAGGTTATTTTTGCAATCATGTAATAATATATAAGTTCAAGCAATTAAGTATAAATATATCAATCTAAAGTGCATGAATCACAATAAGAACCCTCGCGTCTAGAACAATAGTTTCTTTTCCTTTTCTCACAAATTCAGATTTCAAAATAGTTTTCAACAATTATTCTTAGCATCATTTCCTATGCCAATCAAAATAAATAAACAAATAAAAAGGTTCATGCTTTCTTCTCTCCGTGTCATCCTTCTAGTGTCGTTTTAATAACGCATTATTATACTTGAGAAGGCGTTGTGGACGACTCTTTGGCACAAAAAAAAATTGTCCCGTTTGGTGCCTAAACTCCACCAAGTTCAAGCTCACCTAATTTTTTGACCATCTGAGCATTATAAATTGCACCAATTTAGTCTTTTAGCAAGCCCACGAAATTGTCAGCAAGAGCAATCCGCACAAATAGAGGCCTCACATTCCGAATGCTAACCAAAGGTCTCCATACTCCATTTACGTCAACGGTTGCTTCCATGCACCAAGCTCGCCACAAGCAAGGTACTCGCCCCAATTGAGGTTCATTGTCAAGGCAACTAGCCACAACACCATGCACCAACGCCACAACCAAAAGAAGTGCAACAATATAATTCAGATAGTTCTCACCAACATGGATTTCTAGTCAACCCTAGACAATTCATAGAATATGCCTCCACAAGAAGGGCTAGCTCTGAAGTTCCTCTGCACCAACACAACAACATGAGTCACTATGTTCCAATCCTTCTCCAACCATTTCCCTATAAAATTGACGAGCTCTTGACTTGTTGCCCTTCATATAGTGGCTGGCAATTAGTGTCCCAAAAATATATGCAGATGGTGGTATCGATCGATCCTTCATAACCTTAAGATATTTTTCTGCCTCCTCAAATTTTCCACATTGGCAAAGGCAACTAATCAAAGATGCAAAAACCAGTGAACCAGGAGAGAGTGATCTATATTCCATTTCATAGTATAGCTTGAGAACTTCCTGAATGTTTCCTTCTTTGGCATAGCCAGCAATAAGCCGAGAATATGTAACCTGGTCAGGTTCAAACCCTTTATCTAACAGATTAGTTAACATCTCATTAGCCTGCCTGGTGCCCCTGGTTTGACAGAGCTTTCCAACCATTTCGTTGAAAGCCAAACAACTAGGAACAAAATTCATCTCCATTGTTTTCTCACAGAAGTTTACACTTTCTTCTAATCTTCCCACATGTGAGCAACCCATGATGAGATGATCAAAAGTCTCGCTGAATGGCTTCAAACCCAAATTTTTCATGTCCTGCATCAAGCAAATCGCACCATCAATCCTTCCCTCCATACAATATGCCTTTATAAATGAAGTGTATACAAAAGGATTTGCATGAAAACCTCTTTTGAGCATTTCCTCATAAACATCCCATGCAGAATCTAAACTCCCAAGCTTAACCCTAGCATATACAATCATAGAATAAGAAACAGTATCAAGAATCATGTTTTTTTGCAGCATCCTCTTCAACAATACCATTCCTTCATCAACTCGTCTCTCGTCCAAGATCCTAAAGACCAAACTAGTGTTAACAATCACTGTAGGAGAGCAACTCTTCCCATGAATTCTATCCAACATGTCAATAGTTTCTTGCAACTTACCTTCCTTGCACAATGCACTGATCATTATTCTGACTGTTACACTATTTGGGGATGTTCTTTTTTGGATCATATGCTCATAGATTTTCCAAACCATACTTGTCTGATTAGATTTTTGAACTACATTGATCAGTGTGTTGTAACTAATGACACTTAAAGTGAACCCATGTTCATTCAAGTATTGACAAACATCGAAGCCAGTGTCTATCATCCTCAGCTTGGCATAAGTTTGAACCAACAGATCAAACACCAATGGAATAGAATTACAACTTTTGTAACTATTAAGAAGAGAATCAACAACTGAGAATCGCGAAGAATTGCAAGAAATGCTTTTCTTCATAACTGATTCGAGCAAAGTTCGAGCATCCCTAATGAGTTTTGCTCGGACTAATATGTGAATTACAATACAGTAACTGGAAGTCTCATGTTTAAAATGCTTTTGCTGAGCTGACCAGTGGAAGAAACCCAAGGTACACTTTGCATCAATTGGTTCCTTCAGTTGTAGTAGTACTTTTTCAACCATTGAATTGCTTAACTCAACAGAACTATACCTTCTACTAAGTGCGTCCCAATTAAGGCCTTTCCGCAATGAATCACAGATGGAGTTCACAGTTCCATTTAGTTCTTCTGGTAGAGTGTGAATGGATTGAACGTCTGCCGGCAATTGGCGAGTGCAAAGGTTGCGCTGGGCAGAACTGGTGATTGAATTGGAAGCTAAAGATGGAATGATGCGAAGCCAATTTTGCCTCATGGATTCAGAACCAAAAACAGAGAAGTAAGGAGAGTTGTACATAATTCGATGGGGAGAATGCATAAGTAGCAGAGTTATCATACACTCCCAATAGAGAATGCAATCCAGTCGGAACTCCACAAAAGTACACTACTGAAAACCATCAAACAGATCACCTGCAACTTGCAATTCGCTCACAGTCAAACCATACCAACAGTCATAAATATAATTGAAAAAAATAATAACAATAATAAGGCCATTCAAGAACTAAACAATAGAGCAAAGGCTTAATACTTTTATTGTTTTACAACTCTACACTTCCTTCCCAGATAATATATAATATTATAAATAAAAATAAGCATGGTCAGCGACTAAACAAGATTACATTCATTGGCAGCCATACCTAATCAATTCCATGAATTATTCGAGAAGATATAATTCTAATAGCTTTAAGCAAATCTGGATCAGAATTAGAAATGTGCACTAAGGACCATATAGTTCATAAACATACCCATTGAAGCAAATAATGAAGTTGCAACAACAACCGAATGTGTTTTCGTTGAGACAAAGCTGAAAATGCTTTCAGTTTGACAGTGTAAACGAAGTCCCATTTCATTTTTTTGGCTCCCCAAGTCCTGGGTTGATACAACCTACTTTTGGGTTTATAATCTACAAAAATATCCTAGAACTTTCATAAACCAAAACAATATGCCTGAACCATTGGAAAACTAATAGAATGTACCAAGTCAATCCTTGTAACCACGCTTTGAATAGAGCAGGCTCTACTACTAAATGTTTGAACACTCTAGCAGAAGAAGATGTAGACAATTTGAAAGCAGATAGATGATTATTGCACTTTACAAGTTATACATTCCTGTCATTATTATATCTCGCTAATGAAGGAAAATTAAATGAATAGAGAACAACTGCCCCGGCAATTTTAGTAAGCAACACACAATGCCAATTTTAGTAAGCAACTTACAATCATAAAGCAATTTCAATCCATGAGTTTTTGTATTTTCTCTTGGACACCAGTGACTCCCATTTGTATCTGTATAATTGTGTGAAGCAATATCTGAAAATTAAAACAATCATCTAGTCAGAACTAAAGTTTAAAGAAGATTCTGCATTGGCTAATCAACAATTCAAAATTGTCCAGAGCAATTTGCTAACCACTCAGGTACAATCTAGCGTGGCCTCTATGCTTTCTCTTTTCTTTTCTTTTTTTTAAATTTATTTGTAATTTTAGGGCTGATCACCTTTTTAGACATAATAAATAAAGATTGATAAATACAATTAATTGAATAGAGATGTAAACAAGCACATTTATGTTCAACAACTAAATTAACAAGGTGCAGTTGTACGATAGAATCCACATAAAATTCACTTCAGTGAAATTTCACTGATTAGATAAAAACTATAATAAATATAAATAAATAAAAAATTAGTTCTCTACAGTGAAATTTCACTATGGTTTTATAAAAATAATTCCACTAACCTTCAACACAATGCCACCACTACCACTAACATCACCATCACCATCACCATCACCATCACCATCATCTCTAACTACCATAATAAAAACACTACTAGAAAACAACCTTTCATCTTCGGGTTTGAGAGTAGTAGGAAGCAAAATCATTTTTTGAATGACCAAATCACAATCCGATATGCCATTTCCCATCTCCCACTTTAAGATAGGCTATTCAGTGTGTACATGAGCAACATGTCACAACATGCCAGAAATGTATGACAACAAATCACTTAAAACCAGAAATCAATCGTTTATATGTTTTTTCATCAGGTTTAAGCCCCATTTTCAACATTTCATCATGCATTTTCATGGCTTTCCTCAATTCCTTTTCCTGGCAAAGCACACTGATCATAATTGAAAAACTATCACCGCTCAGCAATTTTCGAGTTCTCATGTAATCAAATACCTTAACTGCTTCTTCAACCCTCCTTTCTTTCAACAGCCCATTGAGAAGTACATTATATGTTGTTACATCCAAAATACCATTTAGTTTCTCCATCTTATTATGCAATGCAATAGCTGAATCAATCCGTCTACTAGCGCAGTAATGTTTCACCAATGAGCAGCAGCATGAAGAATCCGGAAGTAACCCTTTCTCTAAAATTGCATTCAAAAGCTGCTCCGCTTCTCTCCATCTACGTTTAGCACATTGAGAAGTTATAAAAATAGACAATTCTAATGCACAAGGACTAAATCCTCTCCCAATTATATCTTTTAACAATCCATTAATTTCCTCTGACGGTTCTTCCTTGCAAAGAACATTTACAAATGCATTATAACAACTGCTATTTGCTTTGATATCCCTTTCTAACATTTCACGGTATATCCCAATTGCTTCCTTCACTCTTCCTTCCTTAGAAAATGCCCTTAGCATGCATCCATAAGAAGTACGCTGTAATTCAATCATCCCATCACAAGCTCTCTTGAAAAACATATCCATCGCATATGTCCTTCCCAATTCAGAAAGCTTTTGAATGATCAAATCACAATCCGATAATGGAAGCTTTGGAAGCAACCCCTTCTCCATCATAGAATCCATTGCCATTTCAATCGCTTTATTATCCCCATATTTACAAGCCCCGTCAAGAATTGAGCTATAAGTACCAAAACCGGAATCAAGTTTTCTATTGCACATCTCATTTAAGAGATCAAAAGCAGCTCTAAAGTTTCCTATTTTACTGTAACAATCAATAGTCAGATTATATATCACAGAATTATTCATACCCATGTCTAAAACCCTAACAATTCTCTCAAATTTCCCATCTTTACATAGAATATGAGCAATTATAGACCATGTAAACCTATCCGGTAAAATCCCATTACGGAGCATACTACCATAAAAACACCATGCCAATCTAATCTCATTCTTCAATTGCAAAGCATCAAACAACACATTACAGCTATGAATTGAGACAACATATCCATAACCAACGCTCTTCCTATAAACCTCCAAAGCTTGCAAGAAAAAACCCTTATTACAATAGCATTCAAGAACAGAACCCAATACAGGGGACTGAGAATCCGTACCTCTACACGCATGAATCGCTGAATCAACGATTTGGGTTGGTGGGTAGGTCTGAATCAACGAATCCAAGATGGGTTTTGACTGCAAAGCGAGGCTGGAACAGATTAGGATCTGGTTCAGCTTGCTTAGGGTTTTGAGATCTGGTTTAAACCCTAGGTTTGTTCTTGCCCAATTGAAGAAGGTGAGAGAGAGTTGTGGGTTGGATTGGGTTCTGTGGAGGATATGGAGGAAGAGAGGTGGAGTGAGGATTGAGGAGGAGAGGTTGAGGGTGCTGAGGAGTGGAGCCCAATTGCGTCTCTGCAAGAGGGTGGAGGAGATTTGGGAGATGAGTTGGGATTGTTTTAGTTGAGTTCTCCAATTGAGAGAAGTTGATTGTGGTGTTGATGTGGAAAATGATTTGAGGAAAAGATGGGGTTTGCGAAGTGGCATTGGAGTTGAGAATGAGATGGGTATGGTGTTGGATTTTGGATGTTCAACAATGCTGCACAAGGAGGTACGAGTGTGTGGCCATGGCAAAGACCTTTGCTATGCGATGAAACATAATGGAAAATGATACAGTAACTGAAAACATTAGGAAATTTTATATAAAAATAATTCATATATCAAATTTGTTGGAATTATGTAGGTTAGGGCTGTTCGCGGATCGGTTTTGTGTTGTTTGTGGTTTGGTTTTGACTCATCCACACTTATGTGGTTTGAGAAAAAATCAAACCGTAACTGCCTGTAGTGCGGTTTGTGGTTTATGTGGATAAGGTTTGCGTATATGAGGGCGGTTTGTGGTTTAGATTTTTTTTCTTTAAAAATTAACTTTTGAACTTTTTTTTTCTATTTTGTAAATATTTATTTCGAGTCATTTTTTTTCAATTTTCTAAAATGTTTCAACATTAATAATTAATAAATTAAAAACAGCAAAATCCCATTTTTGAACCTTATTTATTCCCTTTCTTTCAATTCTCTATGCAATCAAACTGGGTGTACTATCACAATAGTGGAAACATCCAATTACCAATTGATGAATATAGCAAGAGAAAGGAACAAGTTTACATTGATACAATGGGGGAGTAATATGAACAATGTGAAATAGATAGGATAGAATAGATAGATCTAGATAATGAACGAACGGTCCATGTTTTTTTTTCAAAATAAAAAATAAAAAATTATATTTGGCTAAGTGCGGACGGGTTGTAACGGGTGCGGTTCAAAACCGCAACCCATCCGCAATCCAAAAATCTTATATATTTCAAACCGCACCATACCCTATTCAATTTGCGAAACCGCCCATACATGTGCGGTTCGGTTCGGATAGGGCTGATTGTGCGAGTTGGATAACTATGTCCAATCCTAATGTTGGATATTTGCTCGGACTATTAGTGTTACCTTTATCAATTACAATTATCATAATTATCTATCAATGTGTTAATTAACATTCACTTGATGAATGTAATCTTACTGAATTTTATAATACACTCTTAAAAAATAATAAAAATAAATATATGTATCATACACTCTTAAAAAATAATAAAAATAAATATATGTATCATATGTTTAAATAATTATATACATATATATATATATATATATTTTGTCATCACTTATTATAATATTGTTTATGTTATTAGAGATTAACTAATTACCTGTAAATTTTTAAATTTACAACAGCCAAACAACAAAGGCAACCTCACTTAATTTATAAATTATACTACAATATGGAAAATTTTAATATACACACTCTTTAAAAAAATGCATATTATATGCATTTTTAATTATGTTATTTTTTTTAGTTATGACAAATTTTTTTTAATTATAATATTATTTTATTTATAACTTATGAGATCTTTAATTATATCTCATGTTATATTTAACATGACATTTTTTTTTAATTATGAGTCAAAAAGTATGAAATTATATTATTTTTTTCTTTAATTATAAATTTCATATAATACACCTCTTTTAAGAATTGTATATCATAGTGTTTCTCCTAAAATATTGTATGTTACCCATACGCATTCAACGCATTTAACAACTTTCTTGTCCTTTCTTAATTTGCCTTGTGACCTCTCACTCTCTCTTAGCACCCACCATTGTCACAACCACCGTCACCCTCTCATCTCTTCCAAATCCCCATCAATAACGACCCTACCACCTTCTTCCTCACCCACTACCACCACCTCATTCCTCTTTTCTATTACAACCTCCACCACTACCTCCTCCTTTCTTCTTTCCTCTCTTCTCCCAACCCCAATCCCAACCCCAACCCTAACTCCAATCACCAACATCCCTTTCACATAGCTCTTTTTAATTCTATCCCCTATGTTCCCATTGTAGCTATTCCCCTCTAATACTGACTATAAACCTCAAATTTGTTGGGAAAAACTACTTACATTACATAATTTCACATTGCATATCGCAAAATTATGAGATGAACAAAACAAACCTTCAACTGTATTTTCATTGGTTATGCACAAAATAGTAGTGCATATAGATTTCTTGTGCACAAGTCTGATATTTCAGATATACACAAGAATACTATCATGGAATCTAGAAGTGCATCTTTCTTTGAAGATGTATTTCCGTGTCATCCCCAAGTCAGGGTTCCGAGTTCTATGAAAGAAATAGATGATCACGAAGACGATCACATAGATGATCACATGGATGATCAAACAGCTGATCAAATAACTGATCAAGTAGATGATCAAGCTGATGAAGTAGATGAGCCAAGAAGGAGTAAAAGGGCTAGAACCACAAAGTCTTTTGGTTCAGACTTCTTGACTTATATGTTAGAGGGAGAACTTCGAACGTTCCATGAAGTTGTGACTTCACCTGAAAGTCCTTTATGGAAAGAAACAATTAAGAGTGAGATTGACTCCATCTTACATAACTATACTTGGGAGTTGGTTGATCTACCCCCAGGCAGTAAGGCCTTGGGGTGTAAGTGGATCTTTCGAAGAAAGATGAAAGCGGATGGGTCAATTGACAAATATAAAGCTCGGCTAGTTATCAAAGGATACAGACAGCGAGAAGGCCTGGATTACTTTGATACGTATTCACCTGTGACAAGGATTACATCCATTCGCATGGTGATTGCAATAGCAGCTTTACGTAGTTTAGAAATACATCAGATGGATGTAAAGACAGCTTTCTTAAATGAAGATTTAGATGAAGAAATCTACATGGAGTAACCCGAGGGGTTTTCAGCTCCAGGAAAAAGTAAGAAAGTCTATAAGCTTGTCAAGACATTGTATGGTTTGAAGCAAGCTCCCAAACAATGACATAAGAAGTTTGACAATGCTATGTTGTCAAATGGGTTTCGAATCAATGAGTATGATAAGTGCGTATATGTTAAAGACACTGACAAGGTTATGTCATTTTGTGTCTATACGTTGATGACATACTCATTGTTGGTAGCAATGATGAAATGATTAAAGCTACCAAAAGATTGTTAAACTCTAAGTTTGACATGAAGGATGTGGGCCTTGCAGATGTCATTCTAGGTGTTAAGATCACCAGAACATCTGGTGGTATTGTACTTTCTCAAGCTGATTATGTTAATAAGATACTTGAGAAATTTAGAAAGTCAGATACAAGTATGTTTATGACACCGGTAGACTTAAGTTTATATTTGACCTAGAATAATGGTGAGAGTGTCTCTCAACTAGAATATTCTCGGATCATTGGGAGTTTGATGTATCTGATGAGTTGTACAAGGTCGGATATCGCCTACGCTGTTAGTAGGCTGAGTAGATACACGAGTAATCCTAATGTTACTCATTGGAAGGGCATTATGCGGGTATTGGGGTATATCCGTTACACCCTGGATTATGGGCTGCATAAAAACCAGATACCCAGCGGTACTTGAAGGGTATAGTGACGCAAATTGGATATCTGATATAAAAGATTCCAAATCCACTAGTGGTTATGTGTTTACCCTCGGAGGGGCAGCCGTGTCTTGGAAATCTGCCAAGCAAACGTGTATCTCGAGATCAACGATGGAATCTGAGTTTATTGCTTTAGATAAAGCAACTGAAGAAGCTGAATGGCTTCGCCAGTTTGTTGAGGATATTCCACGTTGGCCGAAACCTGTGCCAGCTATCAGTATTTATTGCGATAGCCAATCAGTGATTGGTCGGGCACAGAGTAATATGTATAATGAAAAGTCTAGACATATCCGTCATAGACATAATTCCATACGACAACTACTCTCAAATGGAGTTGTCTCTCTAGACTATGTCAAGTCTAAGGACAACATTGCAGATCCGCTAACCAAAGGGTTAACTCGAGAGTTAGTAGAAAAGTCGTCAAGAGGAATGGAGTTAAGGCCTTTAGTAAAGGTTACCGGAACGGAAAACCCAACCTAGTTGACTAGAGATCCCAAGATCTAGGTTCAAAGGGACAACCTAACTTCGTGTAACGGGTGAGTCACTGAAGAGGTAAATCTTCTTGCCCATTCCTTTATACAATGATGCCCTGTGGGGTGGAAGGTTAAGCTAATGCTTTTAATGACCTTAGTGATGTGGTATAATGAAATACTGTATCTAGGTCACCTATGTGAGTGGGAAGTGGGGCCACTTCTTTAAGAATTGCCAAGGCCGAATTCTTTAAAAACACTCACAGAACCAGGCTAGTGTTCCAGGGCCATACCGGACACACCAGTGAGAACAAGAACAATGGTTGGACTAACTCCTGTGTGAGGTCTATTGTCTCGGTTTACATAAACGGCAGAACAGTTCAAGACATCATGTTCACTGGTCAGCCAGTAAATCTGATAGGCTTTCACTACGAAAGGTTCAAGGCCAATAGCTACCTTTTCTGATGCAGGGTTAGTTTATGTGCTCTCTCTCTTTCCGAGTCTTTGTTGATAAACGTTGAGTGTTTGCTGTATTCGGTTAATTTTTATTCATGTGGGGAATTGTTGGAGAAAAATGGTTGAATAAGAAATTGCCTCATAAATGTATATATAACTCACACATTTAAGGCTTATCAGTTTTATAAAATTAATTGGGCAGTTTTGCTAGTATTAGTTGCCAGCCTTGATGGCTAGAGGCTCCTCCCCTCTCCCCCATGGTGTATAAAAGGAGGCCCTATTCCTTGAAAAGAAATATAGAATTTTTCCTTGACATCCATACACTGTCAGTCTACTTCTCCTATAATTTTTTTCCTGAGAGAGAGTGCTGCCGTTGTCTGTTCGCAAAGCTAATCAGAAGGTGCTTCTGTTGTAGCTGGTAAAAACCGTCGTATCCTGGGAAGTAGACGCCGGCGTACCTCCAGCACCCAACGGTGAGGCGGCGAATCTATTTTAAAGAGACTGTGGTATCATACAGGCTTCGGTTTCCTTCCTTTAACCATTTTATATTTTATCTGTATTTTATTCAGCATGTTATTTTTCTTGGGATTGAAGGTTTGTTTTGTTCATCTCATAATTTTGCGATTTGTAATGTGAAATTATGTAATGTGAGTAGTTTTTCCCAACAAGTTCGGACCTATCCTAACCCGCTTGGGTGTAGATACCACCACTTTTGCAAGACACCCCCACATTCGTAAGTATTTATATGAACGCTTGTGACCTTTCCACA